TCGGGTTAATCATTGTGGCGTTGTGCAAGCGTGCAAGACAGTAAGCAAGACAGTCAGAGAAACACGCACCACAGGTGCTAGTTGCAACTTCAATGGAAAACTGGTGAAATAATGAATACCTACAGCTTCAAACGCGCAGGCGCACAGTGACGTGCGGCAGGCCACAGGGGGCGTTAGGCAGATATCAACTGTATGAAAAAAAAAGGCATGATCAAGCTATAAGTAGCGCCTGTGGTGCGCGTTTCTGTGTGTCTCTTCTGTTTTTACGCCCCACCATGATTATTAGCAAGCACCAACTAGCCTAAGAACCAGTCCTGCAGGGGATATGAAACCCTGCGCTCGACTATATGATGATAGGCTGGTCAAGGTAAGTTAGCAAAAAATAGAATCGGAACACGTACAAGAGAAACAATTAGGTGATCCATCTGATGACGGGAACAGAATGAGGTCTCTAACAAACCCCCGCAAAAACTCATTTCGCTAAGCTGGGATAATCGGGTCATCGGATAAGGCTGACGTAAACACGAAAATGGGAACGTGCGCCTTCGCGCATCCCAATTACGCCCACGAACTCGTTCGCAACACAGAAGTACGTACACAATCAGCCTCAAATGAAACACGAACAGCGGAGCGCGAGGCCAAAGCATTAGCAAAGCTGCGTTCAGTCATCACCACTGACGTGCACGCACATATGATTTGGTAGCACTGCGCAATTCCCCTGCAGTGATTTTATTATTATTATTATTATTATTATTATTATTATTATTATTATTATTATTATTATTATTATTATTATTATTGGTTGCGTTCTAGTTTAGCTGAGTTGAATAAACTTTATTTGCCCAACGGTTGTTGCTGTGCCCGGGGCTATATAGGCTGCCAGGGACACATCGCTCGAGGAACATCTTCTGAGGTCCTCAGCGACGGACCTGGCCCACTGGACGGCCCACACCTGGTCTTCGAGGGCCTCGCTGAGAAGGGACGCTTGCCAGCGCTCAGCAAGGCGCCCCATTTCGATGGATCCCTGAGTTGACGTCATCCTTTCTCGTGGCCTATCTTCATCTCTTTCGCATTGCCAAAGTATATGTGCCATATCGGCCCGTTCGTGCGCACACCACGGGCAGCCAGGCGACGGGTGCAGCGTGGGCCATGGGCGGTGCAGATTGTATACGGGTGGGAGAACGTGGTCACCGGCAGGTCGAGCGCATTTTGTCGTTTCGTTTATTTTCGTCACCCCCCCCCCCACCTTTTTTATTTCTTCGTTTCTCTTATCAAAGCAAGAACAGTGGCGATATTATCGGGCTGTAAAGGGGGGTTGTGCAATGCTACCAAACTGGATGTGCGCGCCTGTCGGTGGTGATTATCGCAGTACTACACTCTCCCATACATTCACTAATGCTCCAACTGGACTGCGCTCACCGTATACCATTTACGTCAAACGAAACCCGAACAGCGGCGCAAGCCTTCGCGATGGTAGAGTGCGCGCCGTCCCGTTGTCACCGTTGACAGGCGCGAGCATCCTGTTCAGCAGCTCTGCGCATATATTGTGCGTGACTGGCCACTCGCTAATGCCTCCGCTGTTCGCATTCCATCTGACGCCGATAGCACGCATGCTGCCTCTCTCGTTGAGTCTGCTCCATTTTCGCAAACGTGTTTCGCAGGGTCTCGTATTACCCCAGTACATGTAAAAGCAAACTAGTCACTTTCAGACTCGTTGATTGACCAGTGAAAACTACGATATCGATCGTCACGCACTAGTGCCTACGTTGTAACGCGTCCGCGAGTCGCGAAACACTGAAAACAACTTCGCTAACACAGAATACATGCGGTCTCTCATTTTCGGTTAGTCTCGTTCACTCCGTCGGTGTTCCTTGTCTTCGCATTCGCACCACACACACACACACAAAAAAAAAAACTTCGTCTCCATTACACCTTCTCTGACACAACGTATCAGGCAGACGGTTCTGTCCTAATGCAGTTCCCGCTGATACAGTTGTGAGAACGAGTTACGCTTACTACGTTGTTTAATGGACAGGAATGCTGTTTGGGAGTGATCAACAGTGGTTTAACAGGTGTCTACTGCAGCGGGCGGATAATTCTTTTAAAATTATCGCTACAGTTGAAGTGGTTCATGAAACAAAGAGAAATACGCTTGTTTTTAGCTTCTACATGGTTGTACTATACATCCTATACTGGACTGTCCTTTATCTAATTTGCTGAAAAGTTTCCTGACAGTTGTTCGTAAGAGTGCCGTCATGACAGCAGCGTTTTCAGAATATATTTTTTTTTGAGTGAGTGGCAGGCAGGAGGTTTATTTATTGTTTATGTACGTTCGTGCGTGTGTTTGTATGTGTGCATAATTATACATAAAAGAAAAAAAATTGAAATATATCGGACGGGGAGTGCTAAACCCCACCCCCAACTGACTAAGCTATAGTGCGCCATCACACTTTACCTCACTAGATTACAAATGACAGGGCTGCATATAAATAATTCGTCTACTGTGTTTCGAAGCAATCTTTTAGAGGCATCCGGTTAAACCTGAATGGGCTTAGTAAAATCATGGTTGCATCTAAATGAAAACAAAACACGTACAAAAATGGAAGCATATGAGTATCAAACAACTACAGCGACCATTATACGTCACTTTAGGCTAAACGGCTTATAACAAAATGACTAAGTTCCGCATGCACTCCACGCGAAAGACGGGCTTCCACATAACGTAATACAAGCAATTTCGTACGAAGTCAAACAATAACTGCGTTTCCATCTTTGTTACACCTTCGGTTTGAGTGACCACCTAGCTCAATGGGTTTCGTCATTTATTTTTTTCGACCTTGCTCTCGCTTTGCTCTTGCGCAACGTTACGTTACGCGCTAGGCGTTTTGATTTCGCGCAGGCAGAACCTATGTGCTCGTGATTGCTGACCTGGAACTAGATTCCCGCTTTAATATAAGTAATCCCTCACACGCTCCGTTTATTCTCGGCAGCTCTGACAACAGCGGCTATATACAAGCATGCAAGCGCAACGCAGCCCGAAGAAGCTGCAAAACAGGTGGGACGAAACTTCACAGACGTCGTTAAGTTTTACATGCGCAAAGGTCCACTCAAATCAGCTTCGCAGATCTCTGCGTGTGTATGTCTCTTGATCGTGCTCTTCAAGTGATGTTGAACTAAAAAAGGTGATTGTTCTATGAACCAGCTGACAGATTCTGTAGAAGTTAAACGACCGTCGCACTACGAGAGAGTGCGAAGTTCTATCTAACAGCGACTTCTGACGTTCGCCGAAACGTCCTTTCAATCTTTAAGGCCCTTGTGAACTTATATCAAATTTCATTCCGACACAATGTAGTCCAGATGACGCCTAAAACAAGCGCAATCGATCTCTGCTTTAAATGATATAAATAATTTTTAAATTGCACTCGGTGTTGTTTCTTATGTCATGGACACCATATTTACTTTTTTACACACAGACTATTCAACGCGCATATGTCTCATAGTACTATATCATCCAGTGCGGAAAGGCCACAACCGCGACGAAGTGACCTAAATCATTCTTGGCATGACACAGCTGCTGACATCTTTGTGTTTGCCTGCAGCTGCGTCCGCATTTTTTTCTGTTTTCTTTTTTTTGCGAGTGCACAAAACAATGCGTGACATTATTGGTGACTTCTTGCGGATAAATTTTATGTAACAATTAGTTATCCATATAACAAACAATTTAACATATGCTCTCACGCGCTGAACCGATGTTTCGACGGAAAGAGGTAGAATACGATGGCATTGGATAAGAGCATAAATACATGAAGTGCTCTGATACATGAGTCCGCACTCTTTGGAATCATTGCTTACTGTTCCCACTTTAACAGCTTATCACTTTTCCATTTCTGTTTAGGCTACACTCGCCACCGTCCCACTTGACACCAGTCTCTGTAATCACGGCGTGCATCCACCGCATGCGCTTTCGTAAACCAAGTATTCTCCAATCAACCGGATTTTCATAAAGCACGCTCGTGCATGCGAAGACGATACTTGCGAAGCAGCCATTAACTCGTAAAACCGACCCGCACGTATCTACGCAGACCTATATACATGACGATCGTTTCAGCTACAACACACTATGAAGACATTGAACTGTTTTTACAAAAAAAGTCATTGGCAAGAGACACGAGCATGCGCAGTGGTGGTGTCGACGACACCCGCCGACGCCAAATTCGCAAGTACGTGCGACTATGAAATGCTCCGCATTAAAAAAATAGTGCTAGACAACCCAGAATGAAGCCTTTGAACAGCCATCATAATGTGGCTGTCTACACTGTCGTCGCAGCGCAGTCGTGATCTTATCTGGCAATCTAGGCGTATCAAGCGTAGAAACATTCACTGCACGATCAGCGTTTGTCGGCGAACGAGCGGATCGCCAGAGCGCCTCAGATTGTTCCCATTGAATCCGGCACGATCCCGAGCGGAAACCGGTCGGCGCCGACATAGTACGAGCTTCGGGAATCTGGCGCACAGCAAAGCCACTCTCACTACACCCGCCACATACGTACAAACCGGCCGTGCTACGAGGTCAACGCCGCACCCACGACGTGCTATCGCATTGCTGTGGGATGGGCTCGCAGCTTGGTTTACACCTTTTAAACTTCCCGCGCGCGCGCGATCCACGGCGGGTAAATTCAACAGCCTTGGGCAAGCGAAACCGCGCAGCTCACGCGCTGTCAAGATGTCAAGCGAAACTTCTCGTACTCGCCACTCACGCTGCCTTTCGAGACAATTCTCTCAATGAACTGACACCACCGGGTTTGTAAATGGCAGGTATCCAAGTCACGTGGTGCTCGAGAGAATGAGAACGAGTTTCCTTCGAGGACGCGGATGCACGCGGGGGTGTGACAGTTCTGTGAAAAAGCTAAGTTTCGCGGCATATTCAGTAAGTGGAAATACAATGCCCACAAGTGCCGACAAGTGAGCATTGTCCGCTGTGAAACTGCGGCGCCACTTACCTCTTGTGTCCCGAAGCGTCCACGTACGAGCTCCGGTAGAATCCCGCCAGATCGTCGTTCAAGAGGCCGACAAAGTTCATCCTGACGGTGTAGTTGGCCCCCACGGCGAGCGGCCTCTTAAGCTTGATAATGAGGAACTGCAGGTGCTTGTCTTCGTCGTAGCTGTCATGTTCCACGCGGGAACCACCGGCGGCGTTCGACTCGCTCACGGACACGTCCGACACGTTGAGGTCCTTGATGTGCAACGTCACGTTCCAAGTCTCCAGCACACAGCGCACGAGGATTGCCACGGATCCGTTGAACGTGAACTTCCCATCTAGTCTAGGCGTCAGCTCGACGTCGTAGTGCACGGGCACCAGAGACCGCGGTAGGCGAACGTTCTTCGGAAGTGGAGGCACGGGCTTGATCGGCTCGGCGGGCTTGGCAGTTCCAGACTCGCCCTTTTCGGTGAGCAGTTTGGTGGTGATGCCGACGATGGCCAGTGCCGCCACGACCAGGATGACGCATATGGCGATGCATTTGTGGGACACGTACATGCCTCGGTTCTTGTGCGCGACGTCGTCGTTCTTGTCCATGTCCAGGTACTCCGTGCTGGGACTCATGGACAGCGGCGGGCCCCCCGCGCGGCGGCTGGGCTCCTGTCGTCGGCCGTCTCGCGTGCCGTCGTTTTCGACGCTGGTGCTCGCTGCGCCGGTAACGGGCCCGTCCCGGCTCCCGGCCGCCGATCGATGGAACTGGCTGCCGACCGCTTCCCGCGCTCCGTCGTGCCCGCTACCGCCGCGTGCCACGTGCCCCGCGCCAGAAACCAATCCGCGCCCGCCAACCGGCTCGGGAACGTCGCGCGAGATCCGAAACAGCCGCTGCCAATGGTGCTGCTGCCGCTGCCTCCGCGCTCCTGGCACTCCCGGCGCCGAATAACCGACCTCAGCCGAGTCCCCGCACTCTTCGCCGCTCTCCTCCCAGCAACGGGCTTCCTCCTCGGTCAGCTGATCAGCGACCGAAAGGAGGGGCTCGCTCTCGACAACGTCACAGTCTTCGCCGGCGCGAGAGTGTTGCTGTTTTGTAGACGTTCTCTCGCCGCCACGACGCCGTACCGACAAGTGCGACATGTGTGTCGACTCGGGCGTATAAAATAGGAAAAGATGGATAATGTGAAGTCACCGTTCGAACAATGGCATGGCAGAGCGCGGAACACAATAGACTGGACACGCCGAATCCTGCACGGGCCTGGATGAGGACGATGACGTGTAGCGGCCGGAATTATATCAAACCGATACGTGCGCCTTAGGCTGCTTCGTGGCGCGTTGTATAGCTCGTCGCGCAAGTCTAGGCTGACATCTGTTTAAACGTATTTGCCAGCCCTGAGGCCTGCGTCTTGGCATTTCTCTTTTTCATATTTTATTTTCTTTCGTTTCCTTCAGCGAGGCGACGTGAATACGAGTCGTGCGCCGCGAAGGAAACCGCACCTGTCGTTGTTTGGCGCAAAGGTCTCACAGCCTGCGGCGGATGTCGCCTCTTGACAGAAACCGGAGGTTACGACCATCTTGTGCTCGCGCGCTTCTCGAGGCGACAAACTAGCGAAAAGGGAAATAAGTTTAGTTAGTGTCGGCCCCGTTGCCGTGACCGGAATGGACTCATCACTGGTCTTCATCGAGAAAGATCACCGAGTTGGTTAACGGGCAGTGAAGTTAAGTTCACATGCACAACGCCGGCGAACCAGATAATACATGGTTTAGTCTTGTTATTTGAGTTCTTTTTTTTTTTCTTTCACTCATATGCCTCGAGGGAAGCCCTCGAATAATAGGAAAGTATATAGAGGTGGCACTTTGTTGGAAGTTGGTGAGGGGCTCATTTCTACTACAAAAACAATTTCAACATCCCATACTCGCAGTATTGTACAAAACAATGAGGGCTATCATTTATCCCGTGGGTTTGTTATTGCACACTTTTTTCTTCTCGTTTTTTTTTTTCAGAAAACAGCCGGCAGATGGGTTTCACCCGCATTGTTTTTGCGAACACTGGAATCGAAAATCCTTCTTTTTTTTCTTTTTTTTTTGCAGTCACACACATGCACCCACACAAGCGAAGTGTCATGTATCGTTTTCAAAAGTTATTTTTTAGAGTACTTCCAAGAAAACCGCCCAGTACTTTTTAAAGAAGCATGACCAAATAAAATTTATCTTTTAACAGTTCGCGCTACCCTCTATCAACCAAGTATAGTCGGTGGTAGCCGCGAGGCACTTGCATATGTAAACTTGATAACAAAGGCGACGATAATATAATCATATATCTAAACAAAGAATTTTCGAAAACGATACGTGATATAGCCCATGCCTCAGTGAAATATACAGCGAACGCAATAGAGAATAAGCTTCTGTTATCGCTATACTCTCGACAGCATTTTTGAGCGAAATGAAACTGCACGACCGTTATTCATCGCTAATAAAAACTGTCAACAAAACAAACAATGGAAGAATAATATAAGTGTAGGTTTAACGCACGACCACCGACGGTTTCCGAAGCCTCCCACTTGATCCTTTTTTTCTCGTGTCGCGTATAAGGCGTATAATAAAGTTTTGACCTTGCCAACTTATAAGGCATTCGATTTATAAACAAGTAAGTAAATAAATAAATAAATGCAATGAGATGCAAAGCTGTTATCAGCGGCACAGCTTTCCATGTTGCGTGAACTTGTATTGCTTTTATTGACTTGACTACTCATAGTTAAGTGATTCAATGTTGCTGTCATATTTGAAAAAAAAACGGACACATGATTATGGACGTTAGAAGGGGTGTGCTGCGCCAAGTTCACTCTGGCCCCGCCCTCCCCCGAAGCCACAACAGCATTTGTCCTCTACCCCAACCACACAAACACTACCCCCTTCCCTACAACCCTCCCTTGTCTTCCACTGCAACACACATTTGCAGCCGCCAAGACAGTATCCTGCCGACGCCCACGCACCTGATTATGCATCGCTTTCGAAAACATTGCACTGAGAAATTTCCAGCTTTTCTTTCTGTACAGTTTGAAATCTTTGGTGCAAACGGCGACGATGCGAACGCAATCGTCCGAGCGTCTCGTGCAATGGTTCTCAAACGGGGTTCCGCTGAGCAGTTCCAAGGGTTCCTCGATGCTGTCATCCATGAAAAAAAAAAAAAAAGAAGTGCCTTTGAAGGTGAGTTTTTAATGTCTTTTCAGTTCCACGCCCTGCTCCAGAAATTTGCCCTCGGCTGCCCGAACGCCTCAGTTATGAAACTATACATCAGCCGAAAGTACTTCCTTCGCCTGTCAGTGCCATTAGCACGAGCTATATATAAATTAAGCCTGCGTGCCCTACTCCGCTTCTGTTCTTGAAAGATTGGGGAAACAACTGTGTTCCTAAAATTCTGTATTGGTCGTCATCCTCCTACGAAGGAGCACATGCTGAGGGAAAGCAGTGAAAAGAGGGAAAAAAATGGCAGTGGCTTAGCTCAGCTATGTCAGGATATACGTAGAGTTAGCAAAGGTTCAGCTGATTATTCTTAGCTTTCCAGATATAATGCTTACAGCTGTTACAATGACACACACACACGGTATACGTATTATGTGGCACATGTATATTTATTTTGCCGGGCAACTACTTCGGGATCCGATGAGTTAAGCTTCTCCGCTCTACTGCACCGTTGAGCAGCATTTGCACTCTCATTCTCCATGGCTATGCCACAGTGGCAAACGCCAGTCAGAGGCGCTATCAAGGGGCTCCAGCGCATTGTCAGATGGCGACTGCACAGGGAAGGCGCGCGCGTCGGCGTCCATACGTCTACCAAGGCTATGACGGCACTTCTCTGGAAAGCGCACACTGGCGGCGGCGAGTCGCGCGCGGCCGAGTGCGAGGGAGGTGCCGGCTCCGGTGCGTGACACCACTGATCACTTCCTCCGTGCCACTGATCGTCTGCGCAGCACATCGAATTGCGCGCACACTGGCGGTGAGCCGCGCGCGGCGGCGGCGGAGTATCATTGCGCATGCGCAGACCAGTGCCACGCAAAATTGGCTCAGCGAGGCCAGTGTAGCTAACGCTACAAAAAACAGTGATAAACCTGTAAAGCTGTTGTCGCCAAGAAGAGAAATACTGCAGCAATACGTATGACAATATGCAGAAAAGTTTTCGATGTCGCTGGTTCTACACCGCCGTCTTTTCATTCCTCCTCAACGGCACGTTTCACCGCCGCTGTGAAGTTGCTTCACTGCATTGCAATCGCTCGTGCAAAGTGTTTTCGCGAAATCGCAGCCACACCAGCAGGGTGTGACTACGGCTAGAGTGGGTCGAAGGCCGGTAACATCCGTGTAGGATGAGGTCCATGGAGCGCTATGATAAACGCAGGTTGCCCGTAAAGCATCCTATGCGGCTGAGGTTGAGAAAAAAAAAATGTGATCTACCAGTGGAATTTTTCGCCGCAGCGTTTATATTATTGCAGAGTTCAGTATCTCGACAGTGCACTGCCCATGCCTTTGGAGATAGAGATATAAAAGACAACTTGAATAAAAAAAAAACGATTTTAGGTTATACTGAAGGCCCCTCCTCCAGAATCTCGTTGTCTATAACAGCTCGCCAGGAGTGGCAAAGGATCGCCAATCGGCTTCCCAAGTCCAGTTCGGGCAGTCGCACTTCCCATGTTCTGAGAGTCGCCGTTATAGGAGGATTGCATCTGTTATGTATAGTTCGTTGAGCTTTCGCTGAGGTTATGCTGCTGGGTGTACTTCCTGTTGAGGCATGTGTGATTTTTTTCTTTAACTACACAATCATGTCGACCCTAAGCCTGAAGTGTTTTACCTCCATGGGGTCAAGCAGGGTACAAAAGCGTTTTTAATTTGCGCTTCCGTTAAAATGTTGTCACTCTACGCAAGAATCAAACACTGAACCGTGTCCTCAGCAGCGCAACTCCGCATGCATGTATAACAGCATACGCTGGCAGATTTGGAAGCTTAAGCTATCAGCTGAGATACTGCATGACGAAGAATCGGAACATGATTAAGAAAATACGATGCTGCATGACGAAGAATTAGAACATAGTTTAAGAAAATACAATTAATAAAAAAGAGAGACAGGAACCGTTGCTCTATTCATCCAAAATATCCCTCATGTTAGCAACATATTCATTCTTAACCACAACCTACATACGTCATCAATCCCTGCGTCTCTCATATAGCTGACATTGTATCATAGAATGTTTTGATTTTCCGGCGTGATTCAACATGCTTCAAATTTCGTGAAACGTCACCAGAAACGTTATTTGGACGACAAATCATTTTCTGCTATGCTTTCAGTGGTACATTACTAGTAGAAAGAATTTGTACGCGTAATATCACGATTTACAAAAGGCTCTGAAGCTTTATTCCTCTCCTCTACTTCAATCGTTATGCTTCTTGAAGCTCAACAACTTTCCTCCTGAAGAATTGATGCGTAGCGCTTCTCGAAGTTTCCGGATGAGTTACTTGGAAAACACTTTTCTAAGCAGCCATGTAAGTACGCTAAAGCTTGCAGTTGGCTGTCCCCAAACAGAGAGGATAGAAACGCGAACACCGCGCCGCGTCAGCGCTCCACCGTGCACCTTTGTTTTTATCTCGTTCTTACCTGCGTGGCAATAAAAAGCCGCTAAATTCATCCTAGAACATGTCACGGATAAGTAAATCCTCGTTTTATGATGACTCTAGTCTTTACGATGGCTCTACTCTCCTTTAGACAGAAAGGTTTATTGTGGCAGAAAAGCTGATAGGTCATCCTGAATCAATTTTCTGCTCTGCTATATACTCAGCGTTAGGGGGGGAAAAAAAGAGAAAAAAGTCTGTATAGCAGGTCTCCCTTATAATCTCCAATTGCCTCCGCTGGGAACAGCGGATGCGTTGATGCCGCACTGGTCACGTTAATTTTCACTGCGATAGTATGTGCCGACATAATGCCGGTTGTCAAGAACATATTGTGTGTGTGCGTGTGTCAATAACTCATGGTTGCTAAAATTTTGAATAAGGGTAAGCCAAATAATTGAATGATGTCACAGTTAATCTCTTTCGGTGGGTCTTTCAAGTAGCGGGAATGATGCTTGAATAATAATAATAATAATAATAATAATAATAATAATAATAAT